AAAGTATGCTTTGGTAGGGTTATTTTAATATTTGTTAAGTCTGAAAATATTTATTTCAATAGAATAAGTTCAGCATGTTTTGTTGATAAACGTTACATATCATATTGGCTATTCATTTTATTTCCAGTGATGTTTAATAGACTTTTGTTATGAAGAAGTTTATTTTATAAGATATACTTTTGGCATTGTTTACAACTACAATTAGAGGTAACATAGGTATATTGATTTTTGGTTAGGTTGTACAGTATCACTGTGGTCGGTGGTGACCTTGACCTGAGTTTGTGCATTGAGCCCTAGTTGGGGTAAGATTTATATGAAAGCATATTATATATTTATTCATGAGTTTATTATGAGTGTAATATGTTATAAATCTTTATAATGAAAAGGTCAACTGTCTGTCATATTTTGTAAAATTATTTTTATTCATATTTTTTTGTAATGCTTCATAATATTCATGTGAATTTACATTTGTAAGTAATGTCATGTTTTTCTTATTTTTCATTTGTACAGCACACTGTCATTCATTACTGCCAATATCATTCATTACCATTATCAGAATTTGTAATATCATTGATATTCATAATTAATAAACTTATAAAAAAGAACAAATCTGGTTATCACAAATGGTGTCGTGGACAGGATAAGTTAATGGTTAACTTGGATTATATGGCAGTGTGATGTGCATAATTTAGGTCTCCAGTATCAACTTGAGAGTTAATGGTTCAGTGAAGATATGATGTGAAGAACTGTTTCGGACAACTAGACCAATTTAAGATTTATTCGGTAGGAGAGTTACAGTGTATTATTTATCACCATGTCGGAAGAAGAATTAAAAGCCAAATTGACATTTCAAACTATGAAGACTGAAAAATTAGAACATGAACTAAGAAAAGCAAACACCATTATTGAAAAATTAAATGCCGATGTACATAACATGAGTTTTGCTAAATCAGAAGAACTTAAAACTGTTTTCATAGCAAGGGAGAAGAAAATACCAAAACTCTGTGGACGACCTACAAGTGTTAATGACCCAGACATATGCGAGTGGATTCATGATGTAAAACAACACTTAAAAACAATTGAACCATTAGATGCCAAACTTGATTTCATTTACGACAACATTGGTGGTCAATGTAAGGACGAAATACGCTTACGACCAGAGAATGAAATGGATACTCCAGAAAAAATATTTAACATTATACGTTCAGTGTTTACTAATTACCAAACTATTGCAGCACTACAACAGCAGTTTTACCAGCGCAACCAAGAACAGGGTAAAACTCTACAAAAGTACTCACTGGCGTTGATGAAGCTTATGGAGAAGATCCACAACAAGGATTCAAGTGTGATTACCGATAAGGACACAATGTTGAAAGAAAAATTTGTTGATGGAATTCGGGATGACAGTCTGAGAAGAGAGATGAGACGTTACTTACATCAGTTCAAGGATATGAACTTTCCTAAATTTAGAGAGACAGTGATTGACTGGTCAGAAGATTATAGAAGTCATAATCTACCACAACAGTGTTCATCAGAAGGAGCCAAAGTACAGTTAGTTGATTTGTTGGAAGACATAAAGAAGTTATTACTGAAGCAACAACAGCAACTGGACAGACACAGCAGAGAATTGCAGACGCTAACAGAAAAGTTCAATTCTACCGCAAGATGTGCAGAACCCAAACAGCCTAAGAGACAGATTGACAATGTTAAGAAAAACTATGTAACGTGTTTCAAGTGCAGTGGCAAGGGTCATAAAGCAAATCAGTGTCCATCTGTTTTTCCATCAGAAGCTAGGAAAAGCAACTCCAAGCAAGATGTTAATAAACAGGGGGAAAACAACTTCTGTAGTGAAGAGTCGAACTGCAGGAGTGGAAATTGAAGACTCGCAAACAGACATTCGTGACAGAGTTTTTGACAAAGGAATTAGACCTTGTCCCGTAACGTCAGTGAAAATTGAAAACCAAGATACAATGTGTTTGTTAGACACTGGTTCTCAAATTTCAACAGTGACAGAAACATTTTTTAGAAGTCTACTTGATAATAAGCCAAATCTTCATGATGTTACTCTTTGGATGAAGGTGACTGGAGCTAACAACCTACCTATTCCATACCTTGGATATGCAGAAGTTGAGATTAGCATCCCAGATATAGTCACAATTCCAAATGTTGGTGTATTAGTTGTGAGGGATCCCGATGACGATTTTGGTCGAGAACGGAAGAGCCGAGTACCAGGAGTCCTTGGAAGTAATTTCTTCAAACTTCTGAAAACTCATTTGGAGTCCGTGTCTGATACCAAAGATAAACTTTTGTGTGACGCATGGAATGTTGTGTTATCCATGTATCAAATGACATCAGAAGTTAACAGGCTTAGTTTTGCCAAAGTTGGACGAATTCCAGTAAAAGTACCAGCTGAATCCATGGTAACTGTTATGTGTACTACACGACAAAGCCGAGGATGTTCGAATGTACTATTACAGGCAATTCAAAGTCCTCATGGAAATTTACCACGCAATGTGATTGTGATAGACTCTTATTCAGAGATTTCAAATGGAAGAGTGCCAGTACGAGTGATAAATTTAGGGACTGAGGATGTGTGGTTAAATCCTAAGACGAGGATAGGGACAGTTCAAGAAGCAGAAATAGCAGATTCCTTACATAATTCTGTTCAAGTGACAGTGAAGGATAATGAAATTCAAGTCCAAATTGATGGAGAGACAAAAATAGCTTCAGATATTACCGAACATGGAAATGGAAAAATCAAATTATACGGACATGACTTTGATATAGATACCACTCTTAGTAGTGAACAACAGCGAAAACTTGCACACTTATCGCAGAAACATAAAGCAGCATTTTGCAAAGATGAAGACGACTTAGGATTTACAGCCACGGTAAAGCACCACATAGAACTGACTGATAACAAACCCATCGCTGTTCCACATAGACGGGTACCACCCCACATGATGCAAGAGGTGAAACAGCTCATTCAGAAGTTCCTTGATCAGCAAGTAATTAGACCAAGTACTAGTCCATACGGAGCTGCAGCTGTATTGGTTCGGAAAAAGGATAAATCACTTCGTTTATGTGTAGACTTTCGTCTTCTTAACCAAAAGACAGTTAAGGATGCTTTTCCCTTACCGAGAATTGAAGAGTCATTGGATGCTTTAAGTGGATCAAAGTATTATAGCACCATTGATTTAGCGCAAGGTTACTATCAAGTCGCTTTAGATGAACTCTCTATCCTCAACCTATGGAGAATATATCAGCTCAGAAAGATTCCAAGGATAAAGAAACACAATCAGACATACCAGCAGACCGGTTACAGCCAGATGTGAATGGTGAGGATTCTTCAGTGGGAATTCATAGTGAAAAATGTGAATCTAGTGAAAAATGTGAAACAAGTGAAAAATGTGATTCAATTGAAAAATGTGATTCACGTGAAACATGTGAGTTCAATACAAATACTGGAAACTCCGTACATTCAGAGGATGCAAGAGAAAAAGCAGGGAAGCCGGTTCCATTGCGCAGATCTTTAAGAACTACAGCAGGAAAACATTCAAATCCGAACAAGTTGCCACAATCAGTTTTAGAATCGCAAGAAATTTTTGTGTAATTTATATGATTTGAATCAGACATTTTGTAATATTTTTGAAAATTAGTGTATAGTTTTCTTCTGCAAAAATATTTTTGTGTGTGTATATTTTTCAATTTTTTGCTGTGGAATGCAAAAATACTTAGCAGGGAAGAATGTGATGTGGTGATTTTTACAATAGAGTTATCTCTCTTTGTTTTCATACACGGTTTGTCACTGAGGGTAATTTCCGCATCTATTTTTAGTAACAGAAATTCTGTTCAGCTAAAGTATTTGAGAATACACATAGGTTTTTATTTAAATGTATTGTTTAATATTTTGATAATTTCAACATCACTTCCTGTGATCACGTGATTTCATAGTTTGTGATTTTGCACGAAATGTTTCGCGCTATGAAGGCTGTGTGTTGAACTGAAACATTGTTGAAGCTGAATTATATCTCTATCTAGGTGTACCAACTGTAAGTTTACATTGTTTTAAATATAGCTTTGCTCATGATAGTAAAGTATGTTTTGGTAGGGTTATTTTAATATTTGTTAAGTCTGAAAATATTTATTTCAATAGAATAAGTTCAGCATGTTTTGTTGATAAACGTTACATATCATATTGGCTATTCATTTTATTTCTAGTGATGTTTAATAGACTTTTGTTATGAAGAAGTTTAAATTTATTTTACAAGATATACTTTTATTATTGTTTACAACTGTAATTAGAGGTAACATAGGTATATTGATTTTTGGTTAGGTTGTACAGTATCACTGTGGTCGGTGGTCACCTTGACCTGAGTTTGTGCATTGAGCCCTAGTTGGGGTAAGATTTATATGAAAGCATATTATATATTTATTCATGAGTTTATTATGAGTGTAATATGTTATAAATCTTTATAATGAAAAGGTCAACTGTCTGTCATATTTTGTAAAATTATTTTTATTCATATTTTTTAGTAATGCTTCATAATATTCATGTGAATTTACATTTGTAAGTAATGTCATGTTTTTCTTATTTTTCATTTGTACAGCACACTGTCATTCATTACTGCCAATATCATTCATTACCATTATCAGAATTTGTAATATCATTGATATTCATAATTAATAAACTTATAAAAAGAACAAATCTGGTTATCACATAAATAAAGAATAAAATATATTATAGATTCCGAGCACTTCTCTTGAAAAAAATACTGACTTTACATGGAAATTATGAACACCGCTATTAATACAAAATTAATTTCATTGGTTACACGTAAATAAGAAAGACAAATACAATAAGTCCAGGAATTGAACACAATCGATACTCTAGAAATAATAATAACATAATAACAAGCCAATCATTTTGCAGGAATGGATAATAATTTCATATTTAAAGTCGTCAGTTGACGGATAATTCTAAGCTCTTACAGAAACGCTCTAAACACACACCAGAAACTACAATATGATCAGTCTTCGTATTATCTGTTTAATGGCCTCTCTCTTTACAGTTTCTCGTGCAACCATCTCCTCCTTCAGATATATCGCGAAACTAGAACTCGATAACAAGATGTCCAATGAGGAACTTGTAGGACAACACAAAGCCCATTCTTTAAGTGAGTGTGCTGCCATCTGTCAGAGAGATTGCGGTATCTTCGGGTACAATCCTACGCTGAAGAAATGCCGGACCCACAAGAAGACCTTCACTTCCGGAATGTCGGACGAAAACGGATGGCGGTATTACTTTCCGGAATGTATGTATTGGTTTTTATTTTATTTTTTCTTCAATCTTACACTTGTAGCCGATTTATCTACCTTATTTTGATTGTTTATTTTTATGAGTCGTTTCAAGCGTTGTATTATGAAGATAACTATTTTGTTTATTGTCTAGGTCATAATCTTATATAATTCTTAGTTTTGATTTGAGTTCTTCCTTCAGATGGTCTAAATCTAAATCCTAAATAATTCTCAGTTTTCATCTAAGATTTTCCTTTACTTATTATAAGTCCTAATTCTCACTTTTGTTCTTCAGTTCTTCCCTCAGATTGTAAGGCACATCGTGCCAATGGTTATGATAAATCGGACGCGTACGATATTTACCCATACGGGATAAAGTCCATTCCGGTCAAGGTTCATTGTAATATGGATATAATGGGCGGCGGATGGACGGTAGGTTTTGATTTCTTTTTACATCTGAGCTTTTTGAAGATAATGTGATGATATTGTGATATCTATATTTATGTAATGATTTGGATTGTTGCTTTTTTAAAGATCGAATTTCCAAGGGTTGGGGTGGAGGTTATGCCCTGTTCACTGATACGGATTGGTTGTTGCTTTTTTAAAGATCAACCACTGCTCGCTATCTCCACCTTTTTATTTATTCACAATGATCTTTCCAGGGCAATCAAATCTAGCCTAATAAATTTACATACAGCTTTCCAAGGTAATCCAAACTAGCCAAATAAATGTACGTTCATCTTTCCAAGACAATCCAAACTAGCCCAATAAATTTTAATACATTTTTCTACGGCAATCCAAACTAGCCTAATAAATGTACATACACCTTTCCAAGGCAACCCAAATCTAGCCTGATAAATGTACCCACATCTTTAAACGGCAATCCAAATTAGCCTAACAAATGTACATAAATCTTTCCAAGGCAATCCAAAAACGATTTGATGGATCCATCAGCTTTGACAGAAACTGGACAGACTACAAAAATGGCTTTGGTGAACCGGAACAGGAAGTTTGGATTGGTAAATATAAGCTAATACCGGGTCTTTAATTGGTTTAAAGTTATAACCAAGATATTAATAAACATTTGAATTTTGAAATCAGTTAAAAAAAATAAAATGATGCACGGATAATATAAACAGTACTCTAATTGCTTTGGTCTTGTTTTCAGCTGTTCAATTGTAAATAAAAAATGCATTTACGAGTTTTTATCAAAATAAAGGAAAGATAAGACATACAAGAATGAAATTCAAAAGACTTCCGTATTTGAAAGTCCTTTAGTTTTTGAAAGTCCTTATGCTTTTAAGTTTTGTGTGAATTATGGATGTGTGAATCACACAGACTTGTCACGTAGGCATATTTCATTAAGCACGCTTGAGCTAAATGAAAATTATACCTACGTACAAGTCTGTGTCATTCACACACCCATAATTTACATAACTGATATTGACGGTCAATAGTGACAGCGTCTTTTGTTCTAACAGTAGTAGTCAGTCCGTATGTGTACTACATGGGGACTCGATCAAGAACGACTTCTCTATGAAAAGCCCCATTACATTTCTATACTAAAGATCTGGGGATTTTTATTTTGAAATTCTGTTCTTCTTTTTTCATTTAAAGATTCTTAAGATGATATCACACCATCTAAATCAAACCAAACTGCGCCGTAGCGTCATCAAACGTCACTTTTTCGTGTGTTGTGTTTACCAGTTTCAAATTTCGAATGCTCAGGAAAGTGCAAAAAAATAATAACCAAATGCCCTATAATTTTTGAAAAGACGACAATATAAATTGTGGAAGCGAATAAGGATAATTTTCGCCACAATCTTATGTGTTTAAATCTTATATTCCGAATCAATACCCATGTATTCTCTAATATAACCTTTGTTTTTTTACCATGAACCGTAGGACCGTACCCGTACACATCCAAGAATAATAAAAATCTTGATTTCTGTCAATAATTTAATCAAAAAATTATGATGCACTTCAGTGTGATAAATAAACATTTACTGAAAATTTTAGCTTAGTGTGCCATTATTTTCAAAAAGAAACATCTTGTCGACGATTTTCCCGGACAACCCTCGTAAATCTAAATAAAGCATGATATAGGAACAGATTATAGATATCTGTATCTACGTAGTTAAATAACATACATTTAAATACTGTACAATGGGCATATAGTCTGATACAGTTTTAAACAATGCATTTTACAAAAATCTTTAGATTGTTATATTATTTTCCCTTGGGCTATTTTTACGAAACAATATTATTGTAATACACTTCGCTATTGATTTTGAATATATCTTAAAACAGGAAAGTAATTTGATTACTCAATAAGGTATGATTATATTCAAATAAGAATCAATGGAATTTTTAATACAGGAAATGACGTAATCCATCAATTAACAAAAGAAAACACCTCATCCCTGTATGTGACCATAACTCTACAGAATGGTACAACACTTTATGAAATGTACGATGGATTCTCTGTCTCCAGTGAAGCTGGAAAATATCAACTCTTTCTTGCAGGACCTGCCACGGGAACCTTAGGTAAGTGTATCTACGTTAAGTTCTTAAAGTTAGATTTAAATTACGCATTTTATTATAAAAATACATGTTTGTATTGAATTATTCTTAAGTTTTTGAAAAAAGATACGTTTTTTCTGATATTCTTTTTAATTCAGCGCACACTAAGTTATGTTTTAAATTTCAGAATATCATCTGCATGTTCAATTCTCTAATTCTGCAAACATTGAATTTTTTATAGCCAGAAGGCTAAAATTTGAAAATAACATTTTACTAGTACGGAATGACTTTATCAGAGCGTCATTAAGCTTAAATATCAAGTGATACTAAGCAGAAAAAGTATTTGATCGGATACATTTAAATTGAAAAAAAAAATTAAAAAGCCATATTTAAAACATCTCACTTTTTCACATTAACAATACATATGCTTTATCTAATGAAACTCTAATATTTTAAAACATTTACAGTTACACTATTTCTTATATCGTTAAAATTTTGAATGATTTACTTCGTATTGTATTTTGTATATTTTTAAAGGCACGGTCTCTGACATATACGAATATTTCATTTATTCATGTTTTCTGATATTTTCAGTGATCTTTGCAAACCCCCCCCCAAAAAAAATACCATGCTTAAGAGGTGTAACACGCCAGTGATTTATTGTTACACTAGATAGGATGCTATATGAATACCGCAGTGTTTTGTTGGCTTGTATTTTTTTATCTCTCTATACAAGAAACAACACGTTAAACTTTGCATCTCAGACGTACTTCAGTATTAAGATTAATGAGATGTAAATTAATAATTATTATCTCTGTTATATATTGTTTTTCTAAATCTGCAGGTGCCAGTATTAAGACACCGGGAATTCAAGGACTAAACTAAATAAATATTATCACTCTTTCCATCACATAAAGCTGTCTATCTTAGATGTACCTCAGTATTATAAATGACAATTAGATTAAAAATATATCATAACTTTGTGAGTCTTTTTGTTTGATTTTACAGGGGACAGGTTAAATACAGGTTTATTTTACCACGATCTGTCTGGGATGTTCTTCTCCACCCAGACAGAGTTCACGACGAGTATAGTGGATATAAATCTGCTGATCTATTTTAAACAAGTGTCCGTGTATATTTTTCTTTTTTAATTCTACAGGAGTCAGTATGTTGGACACCGGTTATCCTAATAACTTTGATCTGTCTGGGATGTCCTTCAGTACCCCGGACAGAGATAACGACGGGTATAGTTATGGTAACTGTGCTGCTCACTACAGAGGAGGCTGGTGGTACAATGACTGTCACTCCGCCTTCCTTAACGGTCCCTGGTCCCCGGAGTCCTGGTCCTGGCCATGGTTTCCCACAGTAGAGAATGGGACATCAGTGAAGGGGACCACCGTGATGATCAGACGTCATTAGGTAAACATCATTAAATCTTAATATCCATTTTTTTTCTTTTTGTATCACTCTGAAATTTTCATTTTTAAAAGTTGTTTTTTTTTAATAAAAAAAATATGCTATCATACATTTATCTGTGTAGTATTAATTTAATTTTTTTTAACAGACGAAAGATCATCCATGGATTACGGAAACCCCCAAGAGACGATTTTAAATTAATTTTTATCGCTGAGTTCTTTTTTTTAATATTTAACATCAAGTAACAAACAGTAAAAGAAGGTGGTTGAACGGCTCTGCAAAGCGATACTGGATGTATTCAGTAAAAGATGTATTTTATATGTGTTGTAATAAATTTTAAATTAGAAATATTTCGTTCTTTTTTCCAAACACTGATAAATGGAGATAACTGGACGGAGAATGAGGATGAAGATTACTTTATTGTTAAACCTATTACAGTGGAACCTGTCTAATCCGACACATGCAATACTCTTTACTGTGATTTCAGCCATTGTCATTTATACTCATATCAATGATCTTTACACGCTGCAATACTACATCTTGGTTATTCCAACACATACATTTTTAATCTGTTCCCAGTGCATGTCGGATAAAACAAGTATCATTGTAATAAAGATGTTAATATATATATATTTTTTTAAATCGACTGTAATATTTTATTGTGTGTTTTTTTTTTATTTCAAAACACTATAACACAGATCGGGGATTAAAAGGTTACATTTGTAATACGCGTTTTATTTTGACGTCATAAATCTTAAAAGCAAAATTTGAGATCATTTAAATTCATTATTTAGGCTAGAGATAATTTAAGTAAGTTAGAAAAAAAATCAAATTTGCAAAACAAGACAAGGAGTTAGAAAAAAAATGAGCACCGATTCATTATTTATTTAAAGATGATATCTTATATTTGCAACTGCTTTTGCAAATAAAAAGCAAGCTATCATTAATCAATATGTTTGCTAAAACTTTTGTAATTATGATACTACATCTTTAAAAAATGATTCAATATGTGTGATAAGTCATTCTCCTTTATGCAATGTGTATACGATGGTTTATATACTAGTATATCCAAAAATTTGATAGACTACAACTTGAAATTTGTTATTAAATCAATAGGAAAAGTTTTAGGAGCTAATGATAAAAATTCAAGAAAAGTTTGTGAAACAAAGACGCTTATGATAAATGTTGTCGTTTGCAGGTCAAACACCAAGGTCAATATAAAGGTAGTTTTGGTACCAAAAGAAACGTTCCTCACAATGAGTCTACCTTCTAAAATAAAACCCGTAAAAGCAGCAACAGTTCAGTAATTATGACCAAAGTTAGAGATTTTCAAAAGTAGGTCAAACTGAACAAGGTCAAGGAGTCAATATTAATGATGCCAAAAGAAGAATTAAAGAAAGAATACACAGGTGAAATATAAAAGTCACGAAATCAACCATTCAAAAGTTATCACCAAAGTTTTTTTCAAAAGGTGGTCAAAGTCTGATGTCCAAATAAAAGGATAAAAATATAAAAAGAAAATATTGGTATTCAAGAGAAGCTCTTACCACAAGAAATAAACCGGTAAAATGGTTAACCCCTAGCACAAAATATTTAGTAAATACGTCCAAAATTAACGTTTTTGAAAAGTAGGTCAAATCCATAAGATCAAGGTTCAAGGTCATTACTGTTTGTACTCAAGAGAATGTCCTATCAAAATATAAAACTGAGGAGTGTGATATCACTTGATTTAACTGTGTAGTAGCTATGGCTAAGAATAAAATTTTGAAAATTTCTTTAAACGTGAGTCAAAATAAAGATCAAAGTCAAAAATACTTTTACCCTAGGAAAAGTTTTACACGTTGAATACACCAGTGAAATATTAAAGCCATAGCTCATATGACCAAGGCTCAAATTTCAAATTCAATTTCAAATTCGAAATTGACCGTCAAAATAAAGAAAAAACCTGTGAAATATGAAATTCATAGCTCAAACCCATTAAAGGCTGTAGTCAAAGTTAATTGATTTACCACTTACAGATAAATCATGAAAAAAAAAACAAAAAAAACAAACAAACAGACAACTGGACCGACCGTCCTAGGAAAGTATATTTGCCCCTTATTTTTGGGATTACGGATAGAAATTTTAAAAACAACACTTTGAGTTAAAATGTTTGTATGGTGAGAGGAGATCTCAGTCAGTTTCCTTGGGAAAATAACGAAACAATATAATGCACTGTCTGTCTTTGTGTACATGCTATTAATAGCTTATTTAAACATGAGGATGAACCTAGATCTCTTCCGAGGAGACGAATATACAATCCAAGGATAAATTTATATCTCTTCCGAGGAGAGGAATATACGATCCGAGGATAAATCTAGATGAATTCCGAGGAGACGAATATACGATCCAACGTTAACTTGAAATACTCCATTTAATGATTTAGAACTTTATACACCATGCTTAATGAAATTATATGACAAAAGACAATGGTTGCAAATGTTTATTTTTATGTAAAGAGAATGAATCATTATGTAACAGAACACTCTTCATGCTCAAAATAAAATGTAGAATCCTCACAAATAAAGGGAAGTTTTAGTCCGTCTTCTCCTGTATAGTACGTGTAGTTCCTCTAAGTCACCCAGCGCCACCTGTCGTCGTTATGATAAGTCAGAAGGAGGCCAACTGCTTCTTATTGGATGAACTGCTGTCTCGCCCTCATCGTTAGGATTCCAGTTCTGATACGTTACTGGTGTCCAATTATCAAAATGAGTCTATCATTGTCGTCAAATGTCAAAACATTGGCACGAAATGCAAAGGAACCGTTGAGATCAACTTCTGCAGAAAAGGGACAAGAAAAAAATTATATAATCTTCAAAATTGAAACACCACCGATACAATATGAGTTGTTGCTTTACATCCTGAATGCTCTAAAAATTATAAGATTTGATCCGCTGTATCCAAGGTCAGTAGACATTTGAAGGGAAAGTATTCTCATTTTGGGTATGTGTAACAATAGAATATTTTCTAACGAGCATAAGCAAACATAAGCCAAACTTTATTTCAATTTGAAAAACAAAGGAATATAGTGTTTATGGGTGAACTTTGAAATGAACAATTTTGATACACTTCAGAAATATATTTTCCAGATTTAATGTGCAGGTTTTTATTTAAAGTGTAAAATCAGATTTGTAGAGAGCAAAAAAAAAGGTATTCCAGAGAAACTCTTACGACAAGAAATTAGCTAGTAAACTAGTAATCCCATAGCATTAATAATTCAGGAGATACGGTCAACGTTAACGTTTTCAAAAAGTAGGTCAAATCCATCAGTTCCATCGTTTAGGTCAAAGGTCAATACTGGGGAGTTTGATATCACGTTATTTAACCGTTCAATGATTATGGCTAAGATTTAATTTTTTAAAATTTCTTTAAAAGTGAGTCAAACATAAAGATCAATCAGAATGTCAAAAATAGATGTACCCCAGCAAAAGTTTTTACACGTTTTAGGATAAAAATACATACTTTATTAGGATGGGCAATTCCTTTTAGGACTTCACTGATATCAAAAAATATAATGCGGTTTAAATCTACATGTTGGGGACATTCAGATTTTTTATTTATACCTAAAACGTGATGTCGACGTCACAAGATTTTATCAACTTTACTTACAGTTTACAGACCATCTATACATTCCAATATTGCAAGGGCGTAACCAGGTTAAACTCTTAGTATAATTTGTAATTCTTTTAAAAACTATATGTAGTTTATGAAAAGTGATTCAAAAATTAAACACAATGATAGGTCCTTTCATATTATATACACCTGTAAAATGTGAAATCCTTAGCTCAAACCAATTAAAGGCTGTAGTCAGGGCTAATTGATTTCCCCACTTATAGATAAATCAGAAAAAAAATCACAAACAAACAGACAGACGGACCGACCATCAGAGCAAAATATATCTGCCCTTTAATTTTTGGATTACCGATAGAAATTAGTAAAATAAAAATAACACTTAGTGCTAAAATGTTTGAACGTATGGTATGAAGAGATACCGGCGTCAGTTTTCTTGGGAAAATAACGAAACAATATAATGCACAGTCTCTGTTTGTGTATATGCTATTCATAGTTTATTTAAAACATAAGGATGATTATAGATCTCTTCCGAGGAGACGAATAATCGATCCGAAGTAAACTTAAGAAGACTCCACTTAATGATTTAGAACTTTTTACACCATGCTTAATGAAATTATATATAAAAAACAATGGTTGCAAATGTTTATTTTAATTAAAAGAGAATGAATCATTATGTAACAGAACACTCTTCATGCTCCAAATAAAATGGAGAATCCTCAAAAATAAAGGGAAGTTTTAGTCCGTCTTCTCCTATATCGTACGTGTAGTTTCTGTCAGTCACCCAGCGCCACCTGCCGTCGTTATGATAAGTCAAAACGAGGCCAAAGATTGGGTCAACTGCCGTCTCACCATCGTCGTTAGGATTCTAGTTCTGATACGTCACAGGTGTCCAATCATCAAAAAACCGCTTTCCATTGTCGTCAAATGTCAAAACATTGGCTCGAAATGCAAATGAACCGCTTAGATCAACTTCTGCAGAAATGGACAAGAAAAAAATTAAATCATCCTCAAGGTTGAAACACCACCGATACAATATGATTTGCTGCTTTACATCCTGCACGCTCTAATAAAATAAAAAGAAATTGAACTGCTGTATCCATGTTCAATAGACCTTAAAAGGGAATGAATCACTTTTTTAGCGTCGTGGCAAATGTAACAATAGAATATTATCTAACGAGCATGAGCAAAGCTAGGCCAAACTATATTTCAATTTGAAGAACAAAGTAAAAAAAAGTACCCTTAGGTGATGTGTGATTCCAATATAAAGTTTTCAGATGAAATTAGAAACTATCAAATTTAATAAATTGCGAAAACGTATTTTGCTGATTCAATTTGAAGTTTTTTAACCTGAAAGTTTAAATGAAAAATGAAAAAAAAATCTAACTATTTATCAAAGGTATTTAAATATAATCTACATAATTTTTTTATGAAGGAGTTTCTATTTTTTAATCAAATGCAAAGTAGAGCAATTTGATAAAAAAAAAAATTACTATTGCATTCATGCGATAAAAAGGAAAGCATATTATGAATAAATTGTTTAATTATGGGGTTTACTCCTTAAAACCTCCTAAGAATCGACAGCATGTATGAAAAATATTTTTTGTGACCACATTGTGTATGGTAAAATAATCTGATAATTAGACTGTTTGAATATGAGATTGTGTAAACAATAAGCCATAAAATGTATTGTTTAATTACCCGGATGTACATACAC